CTGAAAAATTTTCCACTGGGATCGAAGGTGACAATTACCTCTAGAGATACATCATTGTTGTTATTTCATTTGTAGGGTATTCTCCATAGGACTCCGGCAGCCACGCTTACCATAATTCTCACATTGCTCCAAGTAAATTTGAGTGTAGGGGAGATAAGGTGGACATAAGAGCTTTCATCAGAGTTGAATCTCTTTGAGAAGGCTGAAATTTTGCAACTGGTGGTGCTACAGCGTGAGTTTGCCCAACCAAAAGGTGTTCATGATGAGCAGAAAAAGGAGGCGATTGAATTCAAGATTAGAATCGTCAAAGCGAGTGATAAGCTTGCCATGTTTCAATAATATGTTGAATTATTTAATTTGATTTAATTTATGGCGGCCAATGAGTTCTGTGGCACATTTAGTTTGGCCACATTCCTGCAGATGTCGCTTTAGACTAGTATTTGTAATTCTTCTTTTCTTCGGTGTGGGTTGTAATATTTGACTCTTGTAAGCTAGATGAATCATTCGTAATGACGAGAACAATTCTCAAATAAATAAAATATTTGAGTTTCTATTGATGTTGATGTCAATTTGATGGCTTTAATTACTTACTATGAATATGGCACAATATTCAAAATTAATTTTTATATTTTTACTCGTGTGGATCATGTCTTCCCTATACAAGAGCATTCAAGTTTAATTTTTAGAACTTGCTTAGATTCATCCGTTCTAGACTCTCTTTCTCATTCTTTTCATTTCTATCCCTTTAGTCAACAATGAGTTCTACCCTACACAACAATTGGAAAGGGCTCATGGAATCAGAGTTCTCAAATAAGTCGAAATGTATGCGGAAAAAGTAGATCTGGTGCGACATGAAGTGTTACAGTCAACCATCTACTTGAGCAAGAACACATTTCTAAGGGCACCAAAGTCATTTAGTGGAAGGGTGAATTCAATATGAGAACTTTCAAGTTGATCTTTGGATGGAGAGGAGATAGTCACCATCAATCCATTAATTACCTGCACAGACTTGGTTGCGAGTCTTGTTACAAATTGATGCACAAGTCAACTTCGAGGTCTGCTACTTTGCATGAGCTTCTTAGATTTTTTTTTTCCGGATATCATCAGATCAAGATGTTTGAAGATTGCATTTAAAACTAAAAATGGCTTATATTATTATAATGTAATTCCTTTTGGGCTTAAGAACATTGCTACATATACGAACGTATGATTGGCATGATGAAATGTCCTTTGGTGTTCTTAGAAAAGTGTTCTTTTTGGAAAAAGGATGAGGTCGGAGCTTCTCAAAGTCTGATCACTTCACAGGGCCCACAAGATTAGTCGACCTATCGGCTCATGTCGTCTCACACCAGAGGTGTTGAAAGGAGGGTTGTACTTCTTAGCAAAAATATAATTATTGATCAGTTCCAACAACCTAACTAAAGATTTAGGTCGTTGCAAACCAAGACTGTAACGAAAAGAGCTCTGTTACAACCCTTGGGCGAGCATTACATTCGAGGTCTCTAACAACTAGTATTTTCAATTGGAAATGAATGACAAAGCTGGAAGAGAATCCCCTAGCTCCTGATTAATTCATAATTAAGCTTGCAAACACTTCTGGGGCTTCTACGCACAGGCAAACATATGCAACAAACATGCACTTGAAATTCAAATAAGAAGAAATCACTCCTGCCAACAAACTATTGAACTACTATGAGCATATACTCCTTTCGAGTCATGAATAATACATGATATTTCAGAGAATTATTCACTCTAAGCAGGCAAATCATCAAGTTGAATGTGACGATGTGGTTAGAGGGGTCAATTATACTTTTGGTCCTTTACTTCAGCGATCTCTTTAGAAAAAATATTCTCTTGTTGATGTTGTCTGGGGATTTCAGCTTGCCGTCTTGCACTTCCATACTCTAGTGGTTGAACCATGTCTAGATGATACGTATCATACACGTTTTCCAAGGTAGGGATGAGGTCCTTGCCCGCCAACAACGAGTACTATTCTCTGACATGCTGCTGAGTCTGGAGAAGGAGAATGTATTGGCTCCCTTGGGGTTTACTCTTGGCACTTGTTCTAGTGTCTCCTATTATTGTGATTATCTACAAATTCATCTTATTGATTTATTGTGTAATGAATTTTTTGGCGCAATCCATTTTGCTAGTGATTTCTTTTTTTTTTCAGCTCTACTTATGTGACTCAACTTATTGTGGCATGATCCACACTCACCGCATATTTCAAGACGTTGGATCCTGATTTATCTATGAATCCACACCACCGAGAAAAAAGCAAAAATAAGAAAGCTTTGAGCAAAGGATTTAGTGAATGAAAAATGAAAAAAGTTGAGTTTTTTCAAAATAGGGAGATGCCGAAGGAGAAAGCCTGAACCAAAAAGAAACAAAATATTATTATTGAATTTAAAATCGATTACAACGACTCTTCAAAACATGAAAGAAATGACAAACAGACACAAACACATGCCAACACCTTGAAAGTGCATCCCAAGGGCGGTGGAGGTTGGCCCAGTGGATTCGGGGGCTTGGGAATAGCAAATGTGAAAGCAGGAGAGGGGCCGACAGGAGTTGGAAGGTGAACTGGAGGGAGGCAGCAGTTTAAGGTGGCGGGAAGGTTAGTTGGGCAACTGAGAGGTAAGTTCGAAGGTGGGGTAACAAGCTGATAATATTGTGGCAGTAGCGGGGAAGGCTCGTCAGCACTCTCGAAGGGTAGAAAGCGAGCGGCGAAGTGCTTATTGTGATGGGAAAGGCCTGGACAACAAGGTGGACTACTGGAAGTGAGTCGACTAAGTGTTAGGAGGAATTATGGGCAGGTGGACAGCAAGATTGGGTTGTTCATCAAGGGCGGCTAAGTGTTGGGATAGAGTATGGGGAGTTGCAGCCTTGCTAGGAGAACCTTGGCAGCATGTTGAAGGAAAGTACCGGCATTTGTTTGGGAAGAGGTGCAGTGGCCTGTTGTAGGGCTGGGAAGCGGGTTGACTGCAACAGTAAAGGTGGAAGAATAGATAAATATCTCCTCAGGGTCAACTATAGTCAGAGCACCACCTGGACCCGTGGAGACGATCACCACCTCGGACGAGGGGCAGGCGGAGCACTACCTCGACGTAGGATACAACCCTCAAAGGAAAAAATACCAACGCTAAAACCTGATTTCAGATATAAAAAACAAGACCCCTAATTCTAAACACGTCACCTCATATTTATAAAAAGGCTTGGCCTATTTTTAGGAAGAGCTGTAGCTGTTGGAAAGACTTTGAAAATATGAAAAAAGAATAAAACGGATTTTAGATTTTTGGAAAGACTTTTAAAATAAGTAAAGAGAATAATTTCAGATTTTTTAAGAAATGATTTTAAAATAAGCAAGGAGGATAAAAAGAGATGTTAGATTTTAGAAAAGGGTTTTAAAAATAAGGAATGAGAAAAAAAAAATAGAATTTCAGGTTTAGGAAAGGATTTTAAATAGGAAAGTGCTAAGGAAGGAAAGGTGAGGGAGAGAGAAAGGAAACGGGTAGAAAGGAGGAAAGGAAGGAAAAATAGGAGGAAAAGGAAGAAGGCATGGAGGGTGCGACAACTCCCCACCCTTGAGGATCAGTCGATCCTCCCCTGAGCCCAACGTCATAGGGGTAGGGGTGTTATATTTAACATTACACTTGTCCTCCTATAAATATTTTTTCCTTATAAAATGTCTTTTATGAAGAATAGTTGTCCATGAATCCACACCACCAATGAAATAGTGGAAATAAGGAAGGATTTGAGCTCAGGATGTAGTGAAGGAAAAATGAAAAAAGATGAGCTTTCTCAAATTAAGGGGAAGGAAAAGATGGGGGTGAGGGTCACCCCTACTCATAGGGGAGTTGATTTATGCATTATAAATCAAGTACCCATTAAACTCGTATCTCGAGAGAACCTCAATCTATCTCGCATGTCTTCTTCTAGTATGGTGTTATATTTAAAATTATCATTGTCCTCCTGTAAATACTTGTTCCTTATAAAATGTCTTTCAAGAAGCATACTTGCCAGTAAAGCCTCTATTAGTCAACTGAGCCATGATTCGAGTTAATCTCCTTAAAAGAATAGGCCTTAATGGTAAATTTGAGTAAAAGCCCCGATTACTAACAAATGTCCGGTTTAGTCCCAAACTTTTAGGATGCTCAGACTATAAAAAGTTGCTCTAAATTGATCCTAAATCATATTTTTCGTTAAATATAACGATGGCCTAAATGAATTGAAGGATATTTTCGTCTTTTATGTAATTATTTATAAATATATCTAGCATAAAAAATACTATATATGTTGTTTGGCTAGATTTAGGCTAAATACTTCTTAAAACCTAATTAAATACTGCTCAAATATGATTAAAAGCAAACAACGCAAAATTTGAAATCCCATTTCTCTACCATTTTCTGCTTTTAAATTCGATTAAATAATTTATTTTATCACATATATTACATTTTTCTTCCTTGACGAATTACTCCTTTCCGCAAACTTACAGGGTCATATTTACCTGACTGTAGTCGCAACTTCTCTAGGTCAAACCAATGCAGGTCGAAGCCGCCTCTCCTTGCAATGAAAGATAGTTGAGAGGGATTTGCAAGCGCTCGAATGGAGAAGAAGCCTTGTTGTCAACGCAAGCATCGTGAATGGAGACAGAGATAGAGATTGCTCCATCAAGTGGAGAAGCAACGAATGAGCATTCACCTTAAGTTGTTTGCTCTGTCAATGGTGAATCAAAAAAAGAGAAGCCGCGCTCGAATGAAGACGAAGCCTTGTCATCGACAGAAGCAATGCGGATGAAGATGGAGCGGAGACCACTCCATTGAGTGCGGAAGCAGCGAATGAGTACGCGTCTTGACTTGCTTTCTCCATTAATGGTGAAACAGAAGGGGAGAAGCCACATAATAGAGGAGTAGTGAAGATTTAGGTTTAAGGTGAGCTGTCTTGCATTTGAATCCTCCATTGAGAAATGGCAAGCCCTTCGTGTGTTTGATTCGTGAATTTTGTACATAGATGGCATTACCCTCCAAAATATGAAAGGATCTGTTAAATTAAATAAAAAATTTTATTTAGGACATATTCGAAATAATTTTTAAAAGTCAGGGAGTAAATGGGAGCATTTTAAAACTTGGAGACGAAATTGGACATTTCTTAATAGTCTGGGGCCCTTTTTGGGCATTTTCTCTAGAAAATTCTACCAAACCGGTCATGGGGCAAGTTGGGCTTCCCTAAGGACCTTTCAAACTGTCTTAGTCTAAGAGAACATATATGCGCAGATAACTGCAAGTGAGCTGCTAGCCTGAAGTCTGTAACTCCCTGGTTAAGTCAATCAATTGATCGAACTTTGTGGCCGAACTGTCTAATCATCTCGGTGAGTTTTCTCCCTTCATAGCTTGGGTTCGCTGTGATCCCAGTCTATGGATTTTGGGCATATATAACCTTAACAAATGCCAATCATCTTAAACAATGCTCTCCAGCCTACTACCACAATGCCAGGAGTCGGTTGACAAATGAATGATCAGAATTTTAGAAACAGAAAGTACACCTTAGTGAGACTAGATCGCCCCAATTAGAAACCTGAAAAACTTAGATGATAGGTTTAAATAAAAAAAATTAAAAGCTATTAGCACAGTACCTTAAAACGTGATCCAATTGAAGAAAATTTGGAGGATTTTGACGTTTCCTCAGGAAGAGGCGGAAATAACCCCGCAACAAAAGGGCACTTAGAAGGACTTAACAAGTCTTGGTGTTCTGCTACCACATAGTCTTTGTTCTTGTCCAAGAAATGATCAGCTTGGTATTTTACCTACAGCCAAAGTCGCTTGAAGATTATGAATAAAACATTCATAAGAAAAAAACAAAAGAACAGGCTGAAATGCTATGTACCTCCCCAGCATAATGACATATTGTAAAATCCGTGCGGGAAAGTTTTGGCTTTAAGAAACGCTTGTTATTTTTAAAAGTCTGATATAACTTCTGAGCAAATGTTTCATGCGTTGACCTAGGAAACATGCTGCATGAACCATCCAAAACAGACAATCATTGGTACTACAAGCAAAAATTAAGCATCTTACCAAGAGAAATATAGTAAAAAATGTACCAGGCTTCATCCAGAAGTGCTATGATACCCCCAGGTTTCTGTGAACAAAGGTTTGGTTACAAATTAAATGAACAATTTTGTGGGTTTAAGATCTCCATAAAAGATACATAGCAACTAATCTCCATATAAGTTGATGAAACATAGGTAAACAAATATCATCAAAACAGTCTTCATTCAAAAGAAAAACAAGCTGAGCCATAAAGGTAGTTCTTAGAATCTGTAACCTTGGGCTGATGCGCCATCAGGGACAAGATAGCATTAACTGACATAACTTAAGGGGAACAAAACTGGTTATAATCCGATATGATCTACTAAGTGAAATGGTAGCCCGCTCAGTGTTTTGCCATAAAGGCAAAAATTGCAGGACGCTTGAAAACTTGAAAATAAGAAAATGTATCTTCTCCTCGATATTGAATAATAATAGAGAATCATCAAATGGACAAATATCATCGGTGTTAATTAAAATGTATATACATTATACACTAAAAGACTCTAACACATGAATATCTATGACTGATTCAAAAACTGGAACCAGTGTGCAGATCGAATACTGCTATTAAATACATTGTATCAGCTACATCTGAATAAGAATTTCAAATATTGAATTGTAAATAAAATATTTCCAAGGCACAATGGCAGACCCAAAATAGGAAACAAAATATCATGATATTTTAGCAGAGGGATGTCCAGAAGTTAAGCAGCTATAGAGTTGAACTGATGAACATTTAAGCAAATCATGTCAACGCAATGAAAGCCATGATGGAAGAGAGGGAAAGTTATGCATTTCCCAAAATGCGGTCCTCTATCAGAAAAGTGTTGGAACTTTGGTGATTCAATATTGTAAACTCATATTAATCATCAATAGGTTAAAATTGATCCTCAAATAAAGAGGTAATTATTCCAATGACCAGTACCATTCAATTATGACATCATCAAACAAAATAGAAGTCATTTCCACACAATTTCCAATAAAGGGAAGCCAGCATAATCACTCATAAGCATGTGCTTTACTGTCCCATCTAAGAATTATCACAAGTGCAACAGCGCTCAATTTGGATGCATTATTTTTCCTTTTAAAGCTAACAACCAAGAGTAATTTTCTCGACAAAGGACAAAGCCACAAATTAGAAATTTTAAGCAAATGGATGAAACAATTCAATTTCTTCATCATGCCTGAATTATTAGTTGCAAATTTTATCATTAAGAAAAAAGAGCTAAATATACCTTCTCAATCAAGTCAAGAACATCTTGATTATCTATAAACTCTATGTAGCTCCAGTTTATTTCTTCTTTCGTGTACTCCTCCTGCTCCATTTTGAAGACATGCTGCATAAACCTATAATAGTTAATTTCAGAGAAACGAAATGTAATACCAAACATCACAAAATCAAGTTTAAAAACAAAAATGCCTAAACTAAATGCAAAAACACGTTCTGTGCGGGAGATTTCCATGATGGATACATGTGATGAAATTGACACCAGATCCACGATACTTGATGGTGTTAAAGAATTCCAATTGAAAGAAAAGTGAAAGCATGTATAGAGAGCCCTCACGTGAGGAGGATGATACCGGAACTAGTAGTGAGAACAGCGGAAACACACAAAGCAAACTTTTATTAATATAGAGATTGAGTTACAACATTACTCAAGTGGAACATAAACACCCAAACACAACACCCAAACATAAAACGCCACAAGAAAACACATTTAAGGTGTATTCCAAGGGCGATGGAGGTCTGCTAGGTTGTTTGAGATGGTTAGCAAGGGTGGTGACAGCAAGGGGAAGGTGCAAAATTGTGAGGACAGCAAGTATGGAGTATCGTAGGTGCTTGGCGGCAGGTGGATTGGTGACTGGATGGAGCTGGACAGCAAGGGCAGCGACTGGATAGCAGGTTGGAGGGCTGGACAGCAGGCTTGGAGGGCTGGAAAGTAAGCTGGAGGCATTAGGGGAAGGCTTCAAGTGGCAGGAGGCTAAGGGGGACATGAAGAAACAAATTAGGGAAGATAGAAGGGGGATACAGCACCACCTTGGAATATGATACAGCCGGAGCACCACCAACTCCTCAGATACAACCCTACAAAAGGAAAAAGGACTCCACACAGGAGATTTGAAAACAAACTTATCAAAGACCCACTCCCATACTTAGAGGACCACAATTTATAGACTCGCTGGTTAAAGGAAACTTCTACACAAAAAGAAAGGGGTGGGAAGGCAAGAAGAATCTAGAAAATACTTTCCAAATGGAGAAGAGTGTGGCCGACTCAAAATACATCTTCCTGGATCGCGAAATTTCACGATCCCGCCTCCCCCAATAGCGATAGTTCACGGGGGTTTCTGCCTCGCGTGTTCACCCTGCTACAGGGGCGCTGTTAGCATCCCGCATCAGAGGCGATTGTAAAAGCAAGTAAAGAGTGTTGGATTTAATCCCACATCATTTATTTAAAAAGACATTAGTGTAAAGATACCAAGCTATTAAGCCTTGCCTATAAGATTAAGCTTTTTGTTTGAAAATAAGTTTAACAGGTGTTTCTAGCCTAACTTCATCCCCTTGAGTTCACATTCCCTAAGAAGAAACATCTGAGTATAGTTTGGAGTATGACAACCATAAAGTATGAACCAAGATGTGTAGTCTTCTCATTAAACACATTTGTGTAGGCTCTCATATGGTGTTTGAATATGCTTATGATTATATGTGCAAAAGACAATGCATAAATGGATCAAAATGCACTTTCGACAATAGAATGATGTCATGACAAAAGTATTAAAGAGGAAAAAACCACACAAGCATTGTGGCTCAAGCTGGAGTCTTGTAATTGACCAAAAGCCTCTCCAACAAATTTTATCAAAAGCAAAGACTCTTTATTTTGAATGCCTAAAGGTAAGCCTATTAAATCACATATAAATTAGTTTAATTCAATTATTTATTATTTAAAAATATCGATGTGACTACTAATGATGAGGATCAAACTCACAAATTTTTGTGCTAACTACCTCCGTCTCACTAGCATTTTTTAGACACTGATGTATAAAAAGAAAAAGAGTTAAACTAGAGAAGTGACAAGCCCGCTACTCACAAACAATAAAGTTTCTAAACATAAGTGTTAAGTAAAGCAAATTGAGGGTTTATTTTTTAAGAGCATACCTTATGTGAAGAAACCTAATTCTAGTCATTACAAGTGTAAGCTTTTCGGCAAGAACAGGACTTATATTGTAAGAAGTTTAGGCACATTAATCAAAATTGCCAAGTATTGATGAGGAAGGAGTAGCAGAAAGGCGATGACCATCATCAAGACAACTAAGCCGATATGAATATGACAAATTTGTCCGATATAGAATATAGTGATTTTTTTAATTGGTCGTTTGAATTGGGTACAGTAATCAATAGCCTATTGAATCAACTTCTTCATATCATATTTGCAAGATAAGTGTTTTTTTTCTAGTTATGAATCATGTATTAGTTTTATGCATATGAGAAATAACATTGCGTCTGAGACTGCTAGTTTCAGAAGTATCTTAGGATGCATGATGATAAGACTTGTGCTTTGGCTAAAGGCAGTACTTGATACAATGAAAAACCTAATATTTTTTATTTCTCCCAATGATGCAAAGTACGGCTTATCTGATGATGCTTCAAGTTTTCTTAAAAAGCTCTGGTTGTCATGAGAACCAAGAAAGTAGACTTCATGATTTAAATAGTATGACTTCAGCATTAATCATTTCTTCGCCTATGTTGGAGCATTATATTTTGGGGAAGCATAAAATAGTCAGATCCTGGCTAGAAGAAAGGTTTCCAAAAAAATTGTCAAGCATGAGATCATGAGAAAATGCTTGGTGATCAAACTGAAAAGATCTGTCCTCATGCCGAGTCATAATATTATAAAACTCAGGAAGAGCAAACAACCACTTCAAAAAGATGTAAAATGAATGGCAGGTGCACTTTTAGTTTTAATAAATATCTTAGAGCATGCAACGACAGCTTTAGAGTTCTCTGTCACAGTGTTCAATTTAAGTTTCATCTTGGTTTGATAAAATTGTGAAATGCTCAATTTGGACAGGGACTATGGAGAAGACTTAAATTATGTTAGAACATTTGGTCAAGTGAAAAAAAGTGATACATTATGTTTCATGTTTGGTATTGCATGCGTTGCATGAGAACTAAAAAAGTAT